AAAAAGTTTGCCGCACCTAGGATTTGAACTAAGGGCGCGGGCTTCACAGTAGCTAGCTTTTACCGCTGCGCTATGATAGGGAGTATGTCAAGGTACGTTTTCTTTTTGTTCTATCCTCTGAATGGGTGTTAATCAATTCGAGGTCCAGATTATAGGGCCTTAACCGCTGCGCTAGCATTAAGGATTACGTTAGTTTAGGTTAGGTTTTTTTCTTTTATCCGTTTAGTGCATGTAAGTACATATAATTTATTGTAAAATAATACAAATATTTGTGTCTCAATTATTTAATTCCAATCTAATTAATTAATGGTCTATAATTATCAAATAATAGTGTTTCTAAACATCATCTCAATATTTGATTACATAGTCAATTATTTAATTTTAGAGAAGCGCACAAAATATAAATTAGATTACATAGTTGGTGAACAACGTCCGAATAATGATTACATAGTTAACAATAATCTAACTATATTTAGGTGCATCAACAATGAGGGCCTCATTGTGATCAAGCCGTATGTAAGCAGGTTCGTCACCCTCTTGAAGGATAGGTAGGGGTACGTTCGCCCCGAATGGAGGCATTTCCTGGTAGCCCCTATAGTCTTCTTCGTCCGTCACTCCATCGACACCGACAATCTTTCTTTTCCCTTTTAGGACTACTTTTAGCCTTCCTTTTGTCTTGTTGTCCCTTGCATAGAAGACTTGCATAACATCTCTTGCAAGGACGAAGGGGTCATCTTTGTATGTGGTCTTAGTAAGATCAACGGTAGTGAACCCTTCACTGTTAGTGTTGATTTCCTCAAGCCGAACCCACTGGCAGCAAAAAAGAGCTGCCTTCAACGGACCATAGGCTAGCTCCCATATCTCCTCTATGAAACCATAGTATGTCGCCTGCACGTTGCCATTTTTGTTGTGAGCATCAAAACGAACACCACAATTTTGGTATGTGCTCTTTCCATCTTGCTTTTTTGTGTAAAATGTGAATCCATTGATCTCATACCCTTGGTACTTAAGATATGTACTCGAAGGTCCCTTGACTAAGGCATCTAGTGGATTACCCAACTTTATTCCAAGCAAGTGGCGTCGCAATCAGTTGACAAATTCCTCCTTATGTTTTTTATCCAGCCAAGCCTATGACCTGCTCGAATACAGAGTTTGCAATGGTTGCCTATGCTCATCAATGTATGGCATCACACCCTCGGCTTGCTAGAGAACAGCAAACTATGCCTGTCTAAAACAAATAGGGTCGTCTACTATAACAGATTTCTCCCTGGTCGTTCCTTTGCCACATAGTCTTCCCTCGTGATGAGATTCTGGAACTCCGACCCTTTTGATGTCCAGATAATATGTGCAGAACTAAATTGCCCCCTCCATTGACCATCCTTCAACCATGCCCCCTTCTGGCCTGAATCTCTTCCTAACATACCTCCTGAAAACTTTCATCAATCTTTCGAAAGGGAACATCTTATGCAGGTACATTGGGCCAAGTGCTCTAATTTGGTCAACAAGATGAATGAGCAGATGCAATCAAAGTAAGTTGTCGAGAAATGCATCTCAAGCCTAACGAGAGTTTCAGCTATGTCCCGCTGCAGCTGCTCTAGCGTGGACACATCAATGACCTTTTTTGTGATCACATTGAAGAACAAGCAAAGCTTTATGATTGGGGCGCGGACCTTTGGGGGGAGGATACCACGCAGGGCAATAGGGAGCAACTGAGTCATAATGACATGATAGTCATGGGCCTTCATAGGGGCATAGTAGAACTTGACTTCTCTCATGTTCACTAGCCTCTTCGGGTTCGCACAGTAGCCTATCAGGACTTTGAGTTCATTGAAGAAAGAAATAAGCACATGTTTTTCTTCCTTCTTCAATATCCATGACGCAACTAGAAGTTCGAACTGGCCATTCTCTAGCTCCATGGGATGCAACTCCTTCCTGATTCCCAAGTGTTGCATGTCTAGGCGTGTGGCTAGTGAATCCTTCGATGTCCCCCCGGTGTCCACAAGGTGTTAAGAGTGTTAGCGCACACATTTTTAGTGATGTGTATGGGATCAAGACAGTGGCGTACACTCAGAAATAGCCAGTAAGGTAGTTTCTAGAAAACTGATGTTTTCTTCCAAACACTCCCATCAGGCGCTGCTACTGCATTGTCCCCCTTGCCAAGGACAACCTCCAGTTTGTTGAGTTCTTGAAGTATCGCAGGCCTGTCTTGATATTTTGGAGCTAAGCGTTTCTCAATAGTACCGTTGAAATCTTTTCTGTTCCTACGGTAAGGGTGATCCTTAGGTAGGAACCTACGGTGTCCCATATAAACTATCTTTGAGTTATTTGGCAGATTTACCGCATCAATGTCGTCCAAGCACTCGACACATCCAGTATAGCCTTTTGTCTTCTCTCCGGACAACGAACCTTGACCTAGCAGGTCGGTGATTGTAGTGATAAGTACTCCCTTGATTGTGACATGTTCCTTTTTGTACTCCTCCCAAACATCCGGCACACCCTTTTCAAACATCTCCACTAGCTCATTGATCACTAGTTCCAGAAACACATCGATGTCATTCCTAGGTTGTCTTGGCCCTTGGATTAGTAGTGGCATCTGGATGTACGACCGCTTCATACAGACCCAAGGTGGAAGGTTGTATATACAGAGCGTCACTGGCTAGGTGCTATGATTACTTCTAACCTGGTCAAAAGGATTCATCCCATCTGTGCTCAAAGCAAACCAAAGGTGCCTTACCTCTCCACCGATGTCCTTATAGAACATAGTATTGACAGTCCTCCAGTCATGCCCATTGGTGGGGTGCCTCATCATTGTATCTTTCTTACGCTCTTCGCCATGCCAGCGCAACAGCTTGGCTGACTTTGCACATGCAAACAGCCTATGCACCCAGGGAGCTATAGGGAAATACCAAACGACCTTTACGGGACCTCCTCTGGTCTTAGTACCCTCATCTGACGGCCCTTCCTTGTACCGTGGAGCTTCACACTTGGGGCACTTGTCCAAGTCTTTTTATTTTTCTCCATGGTATAATATGCAATCATTGGAACACGTGTGGATTTTTTCAACCTCGAGGCCGATGGGGCAGATCATTTGCTTTGCCAAGTATGTCTTTTCTGGCAAATCGTTTTTTTCTTGGGAGCATTTTCCTTATTATACCTAATAACTGATCGAAGCCTTTATCGCTCAATCCGTTTGTCGATTTGAACTCTAATAGCATGATGTCGGCTTCCAGTTTGCTCATTGGACAATTCCTATACAATGGTGTTTCGCCATCTTGTCTCATTTTCTCTAGCTTTCTCAGCTGTCTTTCACTAAGATATTTGGTCTCTACATTACGTAGCAGCTGAGAAATGCCATCATTATCCTCAGTGTCGTCAGCTAGCGTGTTCCTAAACACATTATTAACTATGGCTATAGGTTTCGTGTTGACACCGGGTTCCTCGTCAGCATCGTGGATGGCTACGTCAGGCATGTCCACATCATCATCGTTTTCCTACACAACATTCACACCAACCTCGCCATGCATAGTCCATATCATATAGTTTGGCATGAACCCCCTGGTAATCAAGTGCGATCGTATAGACTCAATTTGATGAAAGTTCCTTTGATTCTTGCAATCTTTGCATGGGCAGAAGACAGGGTTCCCATTCCCAGCATGGGCTTTGGCATCGATGATAAACTAGCTGACGCCATGCATGTACCGCTTGTCTGTTCGAGGCAGATGCATCCACTCTCGATCCATCTCTGCACAAAAAAATATTGAGACAGTAATTATAAAGAATTAATAAGAAATCGAGCTTCATGAACAACAATTGTAGCTCGAAAGTACCATTTTTGGAAAACATTATTGTACACTAATTATTGGAAAATTGAAATTGCTAGCCCCGGCCCTATAAATTGAAAATTGTAGTAAAAAACAATTATTGCACAATAATGAAGAACAACTATTCTACTCTACTTCTAAGAACTAATTATAGCATCACATACTAACAATGATCTTGACCACCATGGAATAATTAGCTAGGAATTTAAATGTGTTCATAGACACCAACTTTTGGATGATGGATTCACCACAATTTGAGCCTTGCACAAATGTCCAATTGGAAAAGTGCTCTCTAGAATGGAGAAAGAACTAGAATGATAATCAAGCAATATAGCCATCAAAACGAAGCTAATTAAGCAACAAAATCAAAGGAGTGGATGTTTGTTACTAACCTTAAAGCAAAAAGATCAAGCCATTCTTCAAAATCCAAGCGCTAGCTTCATGGTGAAGAGCAGACGCAACAATGGAGGGAAGGGCCCAAACACGCGCCTCTGTTCTCGGGATGGAAGAGAGGAGGAAGAGGAGGACGGTTGCAGCCTTTTTGTGCTGTAGGCTTATCGCCGTTAGTTCTTAGCTAGAACCGACAGTGATAGATTCAAATCACTGTCGGCTCTTGGCTTAAACCGGCAGTGATGAGTGACCGCCAAAACACTGTCGGTTCAAGCCACAAACCGGAAGTGATGTGGTCCTTCACTGCCGGTTTTAGCCCAGCCCCAATCATTTTCTCATTTTCAAGCTCATAACCGGCAGTGAAGGTACATCACTGCCAGTTGTCACAAATCCGGCAGTGATGAGGCCGGCAGTGATGTCCAAATCTAGGGTAGTGGCATCTCCAATAGATCCTAAGAATTTCTTTCCAAAATCATAGAGTTTTCCAACTTGCCAAAAAGTAGTGGGAGGAATAAATAAGACCATCTCCAATAATTCACTCCTAAAATATAGAAGATAATTTTACATCGGGAATCCTATACTATTTCTAAATTATCCTAGCCACTTTTATATATTTATTATCTCTTCTATATTTGCATCAGGAACCCTTTCCTACTCTTTATTCTTTCCCACGTCCTTCCACCTTAGATTGGCAGACCGATATGCGCTTGGAAGACGCACTAGTATATGCGCGCGTTTGGTGATTTTTTCCAACATTAAAGATCTGGAAATACAAAACACAAAGGCCCTTTACAAAATTTGGAGACTTACACTGCACAGGTTGTAAAAACAGATAATGATAGTTGTATCACCACTACTTTGTGCAATTTTAATAGTGTGACCATAAGCAAGACGAAGCCAGTATTACCTTGACTTGAAATTAGCAATCACAGCATCAATTGTATCAAAAGGATACTTCTTGTTTGGTAGTTTCTTCCTAAGCTCAGAAACAGTGAAACTGCTCAGGAGAAACAAGACATATTTCAGTGTTCATTCTCAACCGTGACAAAAGATTATGCCAAAAAAAAGTGAAATCCAATGGCCTGAATACAAAGCACAGAAACTTCCATTAGACTATGGATGCTAAGACAAAGCCATGATGTCAGAAAATGAGAAAACCCCGTGGATTAACTCGCTGGCAGCAGCAAGAAGGCAAATGCATTTTTGTATGTGTGATCATCAGACTATTCATTTGTGCTAGATACCCAGTTCATACTATAGAGTGAAAGAACAAAAACATTCAGTACAGTTGCTACCAACAAAGTTTCAGGAAAATACCATAATTCGTCAGTTCTCACTTGGCAGCAAGCAATTCAATTGCAGCCTTCTCCACATCCCGCACCACGTCTTCGCTAATTTCGCACACCACATCATCACTCTCCTCTTCAAAAGAAAACTGCAGACCCAATTGGCAAAGTTCTTTTAAATGGGCTCTAGCCTCTAGGTCTAGGGCCTTGCCATTGGCATCTTTGCAATGACCGAGCTGTTCATCAGGAATGCGGCGTGGAGTCAGGGTAGAGATGTACCGCGAGGAGAGGAGAGTAAGCGCACGGGACCGCAGGCACAGCTCCAGCCCCGGCAGGAGATGGAGGAGGCGGAGGCCCGCCGCCATGGCCGTCATCCCTAGGCAGCGGGATCCAGCTTCTTGATCCTCGCGCATTCCGCTGCGGCCTAGGCCGCCTCGTCATCCATGCAGATCACCGCCGCCGCCATCACAGTAAAAAAATCCCTCCGACTTCCATGAACCACGCGTGCCCCAAAACCTAGGGTTTCGCATGTTCAAGGCGAGCGCGGCAGCGCGGGCGTCGTACTCGTTGCGCTACCGCCGGAAATCACGACAGCCTCGGCGCAGCGTCCGTGTCCCCGCGTTGGCTGCGACGCTCGCAGCCGGCAGTGGCGGTGCGAGCTCCACGGCATGGATGTCCTTAGAAGGGTGCCGCGGCGGCGGGCGGACGCGGTAGCCCGTGTCGGGGAGGGAACCAACGTGCAAGGTGGAGCCGGTGGCATCAACGGAGGCAGCCCGACGTTTCCTTGTTTTAGAAGAGAATAAATCAAGAAAATGGGATGCGGGGATGGCGATCGAACCCTGGCCGTCCGAGTGTCGCGCGGTGCACGGGCGGGTGCAGGGAAGGAGCATTTGAAGTTTGCGTTGAAGCCTGAGTTTTGATACAAACAACTGTGGACACAGGATCGGGTTGAAGCATGCGAGGGATGCTTTTTTAGTGATTGATTTTAACGAAGACGATTTGCTATGTGCATTTTTCTGGGTGTACAATGGTTGGACTCTTTCAGCGGGATATGTAATCTTGGGTGTACCTAGTATAGTTTGGATTGACCCATTATAGTAAAGATTTGTCCTGGTTTGTCTATCCTCTTTTGTAACTACTTGGTAGCACGTGGTGTTTTCTTAATGACCTCGTTTTTGCAGTTCTCAGCAGAATCCCCTCAAGAAAAATTTGAAATCAATTCAAACGAGGTCCAAAAGTTATTAAACTTTCCACAGGCCTTGACTGGGATGTTTTGAAGGTGTCCACAAAGTTTCACCTCCAAAAGATCAAACTTGGATGGCAGACTGAAAAATAAGGTCTCACATTGGGGTTTTTGTGATTTTCTTCAAACAGAGGAGATGGGGGTGCTCGTGGAAAAACTGGTTAAGGCAAAGCCTAGACATATTCCGACCTCATTGCTCTAGGAAGCACAACAAATCAATCCAAAAACTATAGCTCAAAGATCCTCATGAATTTTACCGAAAAGGCAAGAACAGAGGGATTTTGAGGCTTGGAACAAAATAGATAGGTGATGGGCCTCAAGCCATGCTTTAGATAAGTTCCAAATATCCCAAAGACTCCAAAAAACGTGCCAAACAACCATACAAAGTTGCAGCTCAAAAATCTCCCCAAAAAGACCACGAAAAGCACCAAAAAGGGAAAAACCAGAGCAGGGAAGGGATGAACTCGAGATTTCAGCCAACACTTCGATTACCAGATCATGAATTCCTCTATATAAACCAGGTCTAGCCTCCTTCCTTCATCCTCCCACTAAAGATAGAAAATAGAACAAGAGGATTTCATTCTCTCTCTACTTCTAATCTATCCTACTAATAATAATAATCCTACTAATTCACCATATTTTTCTTTTCTAGATCCACATCAAAAAGCGTCCTCCGCTGAGAAGCCTCCCATCTATCCATCCAGAAAAGTGTACCCAGAAAAAACGACGCCTTTAAAATGGACTGTCCACGATTTATTCTAATCCTTCTCTCTCCTTGCTTGTTCAAATCCTAACGGTCCACGTTGTGTATCATCCATCTCATCCTTCACATCTCCCACGCCCGCGCCCCACGACGCCCCCACGCCCACGCCTGCACGGTTCCTCGGTTATCTTTTTATCCCCGAAAAAAACATCATCCTCTCCTCCCCCTCGGCTCCCTGTCCCATGACTCGAGACTCGCCCCGTCCCATGGCTAGGGTTCCCCGCCGGTGCCACTCGCCGGCCATCTCCAGTCGTGCTCGCAGTCCTGGCCTAGGACGCGCGGCAGTGGCCCACGCCATGTCGAGCGGAGCCGCGCTCGCCGGCCCGCCCCATGCCGCGCAGCGACGCCCTCGCCGGGGCCGCATGCGACGCCGCCTCTGCGCGTGCCTACCAAGGCCACACACGCTTCCTGGGCAGCGCAGGAGGAGCAAACCCATTGCCGTCCGCGCACATCTCAAACCTCCAATCACGGGACAGGATGTGGTGCTCAAGCTTTTGAGATATGATGAGGTGAGGTCCATTTGTTCATTCAACCGTGCGCAATTTGGGTCACACTTATATTTAAAAAAACACTTAATCTGATTAAAGAAGGCATGTGAAGATGCTAGGATGGATGCTTGACCAGAATGGTTGAATGGCGAGTTCGTTGACATTTGCGATGTTCTTGACAGTAGTACTCACTACTACAGAATTGATTTTTAGGGGCGGCTCGTAACCATTTGTAGGGGCGGTTTGCCCAGCCGCCCCTACGCAAGGGTCTCTACAAATCATGCATTTGTAGGGGCAGTTCCCAGGCCACCCCTACAAATCAATTTGTAGGGGCGGCTCGTATTACCAGCCGCTCCTACAAATCGATTTGTAGGGGCGGTTCAATCTAGAACCGCCCCTACAGTATGTTTTCCCACCAAAAAAAAATTCAAATTTACAATTCAAATTCGCGTTGCCGAACGCCCTGCGACCAACGATCTGAACCGCGTTCGCGTTGCCGAACGCCCCGCGACCAACGTTCCGAACCGCGTTCGCGTTGCCGAACGCCCCGCGACCAACGTTTCGAACCGCGTTCACGTTGCCGAACGCCCCGCGACAGTGACTACAAGCACAAGAGTATTCTATAAACAACAATTACAAGTTCAATTCACAAGAATATATACAATCCATCATTAAATATACAAATTCCATACACATTGTTATCAACGTCCTAGAGCTAGCCTTTCAGTCTCACGAAGGTGTTGGTACTGAGGATTTGTACCTAACTCAGACTCTCGGTCATGGTAGGTGCCTCTAACGTGTACAATCTGGTCCAATATGAAGTTGCAAAGGTCGCCGACGAGCTCTAAGAGTTGGTCATCCTTGTATGGGTCTATTTTCATTCCTTTCCCTTCTCTCCACCACAAGAGAACAAGTTTCGGTTTAGTATTTCATACCATGTACGAAGTTTTTATACTACGGGTGAAAAGGTTCAAACTTACCCTTAAGGGGTGTCTCCTGTAGGCACCGGTGTTACTCATCATAGAACATATATAGTATCCACAATGTACACTCTTAGGCCTCTGCTTGGGGCACTGTGTGTTTTGTATATGAAAATGTTAAGTAATGCTTTTGACAGCCACGTAACGGAGTACTGAAGAAGTAAGTTACACTTACTGCACATAGTGTTTTTATAGCCAGCTTTTCCTTCCTTGCTGGATCATGCCTTCCATGATGATTAGTGACATAGAACCTAAATGCTCTGTTTGAATTATTTTAGCAAATACAACTTGTTAGTATCCAAAAGTGAACGTTACAAGTATGTATACAAACATATAAGCTAATGAGGATTGTCGATATGTATACGTCTTGAGAATCGATATGAAGTCTTTGTATGTCACCGTGTCCCTATCTAATGAATCAAAGACCCATGCCATGCTCCTCCCGACATCGATGGCTATACAAATCCAGTGGTTGCTGCATGGATTTAATCATAGAACTAGATAAGCTCTTTTGCATCGAATAAAATATATCGAACAAAGCTTTAAGTATAGAGTTGAACTTACTCGAAGTTGTATGGTAGCCATATAGTAGAGTGTTGTTGGAGATTTTTGAAAGCCAGGGCAATGTATGCCGTAACCTTAAGGGACTCTTCCCTTAGTTTCACCGTACGGATGCGCTCTTTCTCCTGAAGAGTCTTTGCAGCAGCTAGCTCTTTGGCATCCAGTGTCCACCATTTAGGGTAATTAAAATTTGTTTGGGCTATAGCTTGAGGGTCTACATACCCGGCTTTCACACTTGGCATTTGTTTGACAATGTGCACTTGCATTCTACAAATCACGGCGTGGGTTAGTTACAACAAAATTCAAAGATTACATTCATATCATATCGAGAGGACAAGGACTTACAGGCACCACGTGCGAATTAGATTCATCTCCATTTCTCCCAGGTGAAAGCATGTGAAACATCCTCAATTTTTCCGCGAAGGGAAAATCCACAGAATGAATTATAATATGATGAAATCGATAGTTGATTCCATCATATTATCATATATCAGTCGATATCACAGTCATACATCGTAAGATTATAAGAATACAAGATATTACATCACTGGGGAACACACCTATTATAGAGTTAATCTAGCGGAAGACTATTGAGTGAAGGCTTTCCCTTCACGGGTCGTCATCAGAGTTGGCGTAGTGCAGCGTAGACTCCATCTCTGAACCAAACTTGAGCGTAGGCACGAGACCTCCTAATCCATCTATAGTCAGCATCTCTGAGAAGCAGGAAATCTGCACACCGCCAGATGTGTGCAGGCCATGGTCAACACCGATGAGCTTTAGTGGAAAAGATAAAACAAGAGGATCTGGCGATCCTAACATTTGGCTGTGGTTTGCATCCTTAGCGCATGAGAAGTAAGTAATAGTAGTAATGTAATAATAATGTCCAGTTTTTAACACATTCCCAGCCACACACATCCACATCCATCCATATCCATCCTCCAACCATCCATCCCAAACCATCTCCACACCACACACCTTATCTCATCTCACACTCAGGTCGACAGGCCAACTCCCTCTCGGCCTTGTCTCAACGGCCCGCAGCCCCCAAGGCTCACGACCGGAAAATACCCCAAACCCTGGAGGGAGAATAGAAGGACTCATCTCCTATCTAGTTTAAGCGAAACCTAGGAAAGGTCCATAGCCGACAAGTCGGCATATGTATCGATCGATCAACCATACACTCTTGCAGAGGTTTTACATACCCACAAGATTAGCCATCCTTGGAGTCTTGCTCTCCTAGGTAGAATTCCGGTCGCTTGCTAGCCTAGAACGATGCCACCCTACCTCTCAGCCCTAGAACATCCCAAGTCTAGTCTAGGATGGCTGATAC